GCGGCAGCTGCCGCCGCCGCTGCCGCCGCCGCCGCCGCCGCCGCCGGCTTCCCTCCGGGTGGTCCAGGTGCGGTAGCGGCGCTCAATGCAGCGACGGCGGCGTCCCAGCTCGCGCCGTTTTTTGCTGGCGGCCTGCCGCCACCATTCTCGGCGGCATCCAACAGTTTAGCTCCGCCAGCGGCGGGTGCAGCGGCGGGGGCGGCGGCTCCCGGCGGGGTTGTTTTGCCTTCGCCCTTTCCGCCGGTGGGTAGGGGGGAGAAGGAGGGAGGGGATAAAAGCCGCCCTCCCCATGGGATGGGGAGGAGAATGAACAAATGATCGAGTCGCAAAATTGCACCTAAAAGAAATCTGAGAACCTGAGAGCCTTCAGAGACCTTTTTTTCGCTGTTGGCCTTAAACATTCCTCCCCTCCCTTTGTCTTTGTAACCTCACCACCGACCACCTCCGGTCTGAAAATAGAGACTTGGAACAGAACAAACTACGATGCCTTGTCAATTTTCTTGTTTTTAAATCGACTTAGCTTGCTCCGTTCTGTTTCATGTCTCTTTTCTTACGCATCTGCACCCTACCCACTTTTATCATTTAAAATGCAGTCCGAGTAAAAAATGTTTTTTTCTCACTTACTGTTCTTTCCTCCTCCTCCTCCCTCGTTTCTGGCGGCCGCCTCTCCCTCTTTCCCCCCCTTCCCCCGCCGGCGTCGCGCCGTCATGCCCGCCTGTTGTCGTACTCGGGCAGGGCGCTGCCGCCGCGCACCACTTTACCGCGGCAGCTTGGCAGCAGCAAGCTGGGCAGTAGCAGCTACACCTTATCGCGAACGGGGAAGAGTCAGCGGGGCAGGAGAGGGGGGAAAGGTCTACCCGGGCGCGGAGGCAAAGCGGTAGTGCCAGCGGCACTTAGACGGTTAGCGGTTAGCAGCACTAAACAGCTACTGCAGCGATGTGAAGGAAATACGTCCAGCAGCTGCGGGTGGGGCGTGGGAGCGAAGCGCGCGCGCGTGTTTTTTTTGTGTGCGGGTGTGTTTGGGGAGGGAGGAAAAAGTGCCCTTTACCCGGGCTGAAAAAGCATTTTCAGCTTTTTAGCAAAAAATGCGGAGGTAGAAGAGGAGGAGGAGGGGGAGGAAGAGGGGAGTGGGCGTGTGTGGGGTGGGGCACGGTTTTGTGGGGGTTGTATGGTGGGTGGATGCAGCAGCAGCAGTAGCAGCATTCTTCTCCCTCGTGAGGTGGTGCAATGCGGGTCGCTGTGGGTGGGTGAAGCATCCTTCTGGCGGGAGCAGTAGCAGTAGCAGCACATCGCGTTATATGCCAGCACACACGCAAATACATACATACATATATACATATTGCTCATGACATACCTCATGCACCGCGAGAACAAGAAGCGGTTACAAAATGGTTTCTCGCCATCATCGGCTGCGGCAGCAGCAGTGGCAGTATGTGTGTGTATATGGGGGGGAGAGGGGTAAGACGAACCAGCGGCGAGTGAAGCCGAGGGAGGGGAGGGGAGGAGGAGTTGAAGAGGTTTACGCATTCAGTTTGACGAGGGGGGGGGAGGAATGAATGCCGGCGGGTGGGGTGGGGTAGGGGGCAAAGGGGGGTAGCGGCGGCGGTAGGCTGTGTGTAAGGGAGGGGGCAGTGGTGCTGGCGGTGTGTGTGTGGGGGGGGGGGGGTTTCCGAGGGGCCCTCGTGGAAATGAAGAGCAAAGGCGCCAGAATGGTGAGGTGGGTTGGGCTGGTGGGACGGGTTGGGACCGAAATGCTTGCGCACGTAATTGAGCAAGATTTGTCATCTTCCCGCCAATCTGTGCCTGTTAGTGCCTGATGGTGTGGAGTAGTCCGTGTGTGAATACGTATGTATGTATGTGTATGTGTTTGCGTGTGTTTTTGGTTAAGAAAAAACTTTGGGTCCAACCTCGTGTGCGTCGCTATCTTGGGGCGGGGGCTGCTAAGGGTTTTCCTTCTCCGCGGTGTGCTGATTGTGCAGAAGGTGTACGGCAGTACGGCGCACGTATTCCAGGGTGTCCAAAGTAAAAAGGTGTGAGAGGCGTCATCTCAGTTACCAAAGCAAAAGCTTTGCCGTAGCTCCGCTGGCGTTATACGACATGTACGGCGTTAACACTATATCCGTGAACGCGCATGTGAATTCCAGAGTGCCGTTAGTGCCCCGCCATCCGCGTAAAGTGCTTCTAGCCACAGTCGATGAGGACACGATGTCGCATTCGATAAATGAGTTTTGCCGAAGCTGCCTCGTAAAAAAGCTTTGTTGTTGTTTGAGTGTGTGTGTGTGGAGCGCTGAAGGTCGTCTCGTGTGGTCGTTGTTGTTAAAGCTGGGGTTTGGAGGTGTTATGGGGTATGTACGGTGTGTACGGCACGTGGCTGTCGTACACCTCTGTGCTGTGGTGTACACCTCCATCGAGATGGCTGCATCAGCTGCTGCTGCTGCGGCGGCGGCGGCGGCGGCGGGGGGTGCTGGTGCGGGTGCCCACTGCGCAACAAGTGCTGTCGCCCATCTGACCATCAGCACATTGCTTCTTTTGTTGCGCCGTTCCTTTCACTTGTAGGGTTGGGGGGTTGTGTGGGGGGGGAAGGGTGTCTTGTTCGGATTAGGCGCGGCGGCGGCGCACGAGGAGGTGTAAGGAGTGTGCGGATGGATGGAGGGAGGGGAGGGGGGGAGGGGAGGGAGGGGGCCGGTTTGAACAACGGGGTGGCACATGCTGAAGATTGCGACATCCAGCCAAGGCTGAGATCAATACCTCCTTTCCCCCCTCCTCCTCGTCCTCGTCCTCCTGCTGGCCTTGGGTTTGTTTTCTCTTTGTGGACCTATTGGATTTCCTAAATCGCAGGAGAGGCGGCAGCGGCAGCAGCAGTCGACTGGCTGCTGAACCTCAATGCCGACCACACCTCCACACCTGTGCAATGTGCGTCATGATTTCTGTGTCCTTCTACACGACACACACATATGTATACATGCATACATATTTTTGGGGGTGTTGATGACGATATTATCATGATTATAATATTGATGATGATATCAAAAAGGCGTTTTTGATTAGAAAACATGTGGGGGCTATTTGGGGGTGGGGGGCCCCTTGGTCATGCGGCGCGAGAGCATGAGAGCATGAGAGGGGCACGGAGGACGCTGCGCTGGCGGGAAAGCATAATACGCAATACACGTACCTAACGCAATTAAGGCGAAGCTGCGGCCCCGATTCTCGAAAACACAAAGAAGCGCAAAGCAGTTGAAGTTGAAGATTTAAAAGCGACGGTTTCGGGGAGAGAGAGATATATATATCTGTAGCCGGACAGAGAAGTTATACCCGGAGGGGTATATATGGGTGTGTGGGTGGGTGGTAATAATAAATACCCGAAGGGCTGCTGCTTCGTTGCCCCGCCCGCCGCATCGCCGTGCCGGTGTCATTTTTGTGGGTGTGGTCTGGCGGCATGGGGCACTCTCACAGACACACAGAGGCAGATGATCAATGGAGCCAGAATCCTCTAATCTTGTGGTAGAGGGAGTTTTTGGATCCTGCTGGTTTTTGCACGGACGTGGTTGTCTTTGCTCTGTGGTTGTGATGGCTGTAGCACCCATAATACTTGTCTGGACTGCGTGCGGCACAGGGTGATGTGGTGGTAGTGGTGATGAGGTGGTGATGTGGTGATGTGGTGGTGGTGAGCCGTCCGCCTGGGCTTCCGACGGGGGGGGCTCTGGGCGGGTTGCAGCCGCCCGCCCCCCAGGTCTTTCATCGTCGCGTTTTGGTGCTGTTTTGCTGTTCCTGTTCCTGTTCCTGCCGTCCTCAGTTTTGATATGCGTGTTATCATTCTGGGTTTTGTCACCCACGCGTCCGTCGTCAGGGGCGGCTGTGCTGCCACGCGCCCCGTGCCCCGTTCCTCCCTCCAACCCTAACATTCATGGCGTACCATTTATGGCTTTCGAGGTTTTTTGAGGTTTTGACGTCGGTTGCCTTATTGCTTTATTTTAGCTGGTGGGGGGACATTTCGCTGTCGTGTAATGAAGAGCGAAAGAAGAGGAGGGGAGGCGGATGGTGGGGGAAGGGTTGGCGGCCACTGAGACGCCGAATGAATGTGACAGTTACATTATATCCGCGAACACCGAGAGATGTCGTACTAAAGGAATGAGGGGACATGCTGCCGACATCGCATACAAACGTTGTGAGCTGTGGTGGGTGGTGGGTGTGTTCTGTCGGCGTGGGAAAGCGTTGGTGGCTGGTATAAATGCTAGGCCGCATTTCGCCAGATGTTTTAGACGGGTTTTCGCCTGGAAAAGGTTTTGGCTGCTGCTGCCGCCTCCGCTTTCAACTTAGGTTTGTGTTTTGATACGTGTGTTTCGAGTAACCCGTGGGTGCGTGTGGGGGCGGGGTAACCCCGTGGGTGCGTGGGCGGCCGCCTTGAAGAGGAGGTGCTGGAGGTGGAGAGAACTTTTGGAGACGGAGACGACACGCTGCTGCACTGCCCCACCCCTGCCGCCGCGCCCCTTGGGGGGTTTGGCGTAGTCTCGCGCGTGCGCGTGTGTGAGAGTGTGCGTGTGTGGCCCTTCACAGCAACACACACACACGCACGCACATACCTGTGTGTTTTATATACCTATGCCTGTCTGTCGGTATGTCAGTCTGTTTGATAAAACTGGTCTCTGTGCAGTTTTTCGTGTCCATTGCGCGCTTCACGGCCGCCGCCCGGTAGAGGGGGAAGAGAGAGAGAGAACAAATATATATATCCCATATTTCATGTCTCTTTTAAGTGCGCCCCTATCCGCCGTCCGCAGCGGAGCCGTACAGTCGTACATGGGCCACATTTTTAAACCCTGGACAAACTGACTCGAAACGCGAACTTGTCGTGTTTGTTTTTGTTTTCTTTCATCTGCGTTAAACACCTTCCCCTTTTTGTAGAGTTCCCGAATACCCTCCCGCTCAGTTGGGAAAGGGGCGGCGGAGGTGCTGCAACGTCGCATTCTGTCTCCTCGCTTTACGCATATGTATATGCATCCCCTCACCCGTACATGTGAAGTGCCGTACATGTTGCTCGGTGGAGGAAGTTCATGTAAAAATATGACATTTATGAATATTATGCGAATTCCTCGCTCCTTCTATCGCTTTGTATCTTTTTTATCGCCAGCAACAACAGCAGCAACGACTGCGCACGCAGCGGCAACAGCTGGTCCGACATCCGGGCACTCACGACGGCGGTCCATGTGGTCCATGTGGTCACACACAAGGCGCATCTCCGTACAGACAACCACTCCCAAGGCTTTGCAGTCTCGCCATGAAAAGAATAACTTTGCTGTCCTATCACTATCGTACTCCTTGTCAGTGTGAAATGTCAGAGGAGGGCTCCTCGGGACGCGGTCCGCCGCCATCTCTACCGCAATTCCGCCGCCGTGTCGCCGTGCCATGTGCTAAACAATCTCTACCGCACGTATGCACAATAGACACGCATACGTAGACACGGGTACCGCGTGTAGGGCGAGCTGCGGCCGACACTGTACATGGACCCCCCCCCGGATCTTGCAAGCGGGCCGGTTACTGGCAACGATTGCAAGAACATCGAAAAGACCGACTGTGCGGTTGTGGGTTGCCGGTCTGGGCCCAGTGGTGAGTGCGGGGCCCCGCTGCGGCAGCTCTGCTCGTTCGGGGGAGGTCCGGATGGTGCCGCACCGCTTCAACCTGTTCGTGGCCAGTCGTCTGCGCTGTCGGCACTCCGCTCGTATCTAGAAGTAAAAGTACTAGGACTGCAAAGCGAGGGTTGATTGCAGCAGTTTGGATCCCTGTTGTTTGAATGCATGTGTAATAGCCTCCACTTATAAACTTGCGGAAGAGAGCGTTTTCAGCATCTTGCTTGGGTTTCGCCACGATCGTACGACATTTCGTCGTATACATCGTACTGTGAGATGAGTGCTGCTGCCGCCGCTGCTGCTGCTGCTCCGCTCGAGCGAAGTAGTTAGCAACCCCCTTCACTCTCTCCTGGCAAAGAGGAACGCGCTCTGTGCTGTTGAATATATTGGGATGCGTTTCCGTACTGTTGTTATTCACGTTGGGGTCAGGGTTGGGGTCACAGGGAGCGGGGAGCGCGTGTGTGGCATTTACGGGGGTTGCCGACGATTTCAGCGGACTGGCCAGATGGACATCCCGATCGCCGGGACTCCGCCTAAAACTCTCGCCACAAAAAGCCGCAAAAAAGGTTTAGAAGAGGTTTAGAAAAAAGAGCTCCATCTGTGATTCTCAGCAAAACATAAATCAGAGAGTCGAACCCGTGGAACCTTGTCTCTCTCGGGGTGGGCTGGGCCTCGAGAGGGCTCTTTCGACGTCTTATCGCAAACAGCACACTCTTCGTAAAGAACAACAGAATCAACAAATGTACGATTACTAAATTTTTTGTTGTCAAGTAGCCCGCCACCAGCACCATAACCACCACAACAAAACCCATGAAAAAGCGAATGCAAGTCCCACTCCCACTCCCACCTTCCCCGCGCTCTCACTTACAGTGCTTTAAAGCACACGTGAAACACGATCAAAACACGTTACCACTAAGCAATACACCTAATAACCCCCTTTCTCCCCCCCTTAACACCCTCCCCCCAAAAAGGACACACGTCCCTGCCACTCCCGCGTGAGAGCTAGCGCTCTCTCTCTCTCTCTCAACCCAGTCCTCAACTTCTTATCTCCCCCACTTCCCCAACACCCCCAGGTGCCCGTACCTTTCGACGTATATACATACATTCATGCATGCATACATACCTGGCTGGGTTGGCAGCGCAGCAGTGTGAGTCAAGTCGGTGAAATGACAATAAGAAAGAGCCCTGTGGGCCCCCGTGTAACCGCAGCAAGAGATGCATGGACCATGCCAACGCGGGACCCATGCACATACATACATACATACATACATACATACATACATACATACATACATACATACATACATACATACATACATACATACATACATACATACATACATACACACACGCGCGTGCGCTCGGGCGTCCGTCCTCTTCAACCACCGTCCCAACCCTCCAGGGCGGGGAAACCCCTTTGTGGCGGAGTCGCAAAGCCCAGAAGGGAAGAGGAGGACTTGGGGACTTGAAACCGAGTGAGTGAGTGAGTGAGAGTGAGAGTGAGTGAGGCATATGAAACCCGGGGCACTAGGGCAAGGAGCAGGTAGCGCGAGGCAGATTCGCGTCTGTTGGTCGCCTTCCGTCCTGCACTGCTGCTGTTGCTGTTGCAGCTGCTGCATAAGACCTCTGCACTCTTCATTCAGTCTCCCGAAAGGTGGTCCCACAGCTCTCGCTCCACAACTCTTCTCTCCCCCCCTCTCCACGCCCTCTTTCCCCTTCAAAGGGTAGGAGGGGAGGTCACCGGGCAGCAGCAGCAGCTGCCAGTCCAGCCCCGGTGTCCCCGGTCGCACAATGGCCCATCACAACTTCCTCGCGACCTCTCTCCCTCCCCGTTCTGCTACCCGATGTTTTTACGCCACTGCCGCCACTAGCGCCACTAGCGCCACTGCCGCCACTGCCGCCACTAGCGCCGCTAGCGCCACTGCCGCCACTGCCGCCACTAGCGCCGCTGCCACACATGCGACTGACCATGGTCGTTCCAGCCTCACATCAAGCCGCCTAACGGCCAGTTTGGCTGCATCCAATGCGCGCGAATGCGAAACAAAGCTCAGCGCAGAGGCGCATGTGCCCCGGGAGCCATGAGCCACGACGCGGTTTATTTAAGAACCTGGATACAAACATGTTCGCATTTACAAGAACAAGAACACACAAGCGCCAATAGCCGCTGCAAAGATAAAGGCTATAGGGGGCGGAGGTGCAGGTTGCCACAAAGACTGCTGCTGCGCGAGAGTTGGTTTTCATCTAATCTTAATCGAGGGTGGAGGGCACGGAGGGCACGTCATGCGCCCTGGCTCCTTCCCGCAGCAGCTTTGGAGGAATCTCGGGGACGGCCCAGCTCCGCCAGGCTGACAGTGACGCCGCCGCCGCCGCCGCCGCTGGCACCGCCGCTGGCGGCGCGGGGTGCCGCATCGGCCGTGGCGGCAGCGGGAGCAGCGGAAGCGACGCTACTTCCGAATCGGTCGCCGGGCTCGCTGCCCCGTCGTCTGGCCCCAACGACAGGAGCTGCGGACGGCAGCGCCGCCAGCTCACTGCCGTACGACCGGCGGGACCCCAAACAGCGCCCGGGGACGCCCTTGACGCCGCTGCCGCTTGCGGCAGCGGCGGCCGCGCTCAGATCCGAAAGACTGAGCGATGCAGCAGCCGCAAGCCTGTTGCCGCGTGCCGTACCGCCCTGGGGATGTCCTTCTGGCGGCTTCCCACCGCCGGACACAGACGACGCTCCTCCTTTGTACGACAGGCCACTGGATCCAAGAGGAAGTGCCGCCGCCGCGTCTGCTGCAACCGTAGCGCTGGCCACGGCTTGCAACCGATCATCCAAGCTGCTGCGACAAGCCGGCAAGCCCCCCTGCATAAGACCCGTAGCAAGACCCGGCAGCCCCGCACTACTGCTGCACGATGCGATTCGGGCCCTCGCCGCCGCTGCTGCCAACACCCCTGCTGCCGGTGCAGCCGCCAGCGGCGCGGGTGCACGCGTCGCATCCACGTGGGGGATTGGCGCCGTCTGAGTGGTCGAGGTTGCTGCCGCCGCCCGCGGCATCGCCTGGGGCACAGTCGCCGCCGTTGGCGCCACGGCAGCGGAGCTGCCGGCGGCGGCGGCGGCGGCGGACAATGACGACGCCGCCAGGGCGCCGCTGCGCAAGCTGTGCAGTCGCGCCTCGTGATGAGCTGCAACGGTGGCGTGTTGGGCGGCCATCGCCTCCTGCGCCAGGCTGCGGTCGCGATGAGCTCTGGAGGACAGCAACGCACGACCGAGCAGCGAGTCAAGCACGCTGCCGTTGCCAGCGGCGGCGGGTACGGCCGCGGCGGCCGCCGTTGCGACTCCGCCACCGCCGCTGCTTGTGCGCCGCAGCGGCGGCGGTGCGGCGGGCATCGCCAGCCTAGGCACCTGACCGTCAGATGCTCGGAGGCTGGTGTTGCCGCCGGCGGCCGCGGCAGTGGGCGCTGCGGCGGGGAAAGCCTCGGACGGTACCGCGCCGCCGCTGACGGTGGCGGCGCCGGCGGAGGCAGCGCAGTGGCGGTGCATTTGCGGTGAGGCGCACAGCTCCGGGGACGGCGGCCGCGGAAGCCAGCCATCTGCTTCCCCGGCGCCGCTGCCGCCGCCGCCGCCGCCGCTTCTGGCGCTTCCCGTACTGCTGCTGACGCTACTACCACGCAATGCATCGCCTCGACTGGCTAACCGCCCAGAGGCTGCACCCCAGATGCCGCCATCGCCACGGCCGCTGCCGTCGCAGCTAGCGGCGAGTCCAGTGGCAGCCGCTGGATTGGTGGTGGGAGCACGCAGGGCCGGCGGCAGCGGCGCTGTCGCCGCCATTTGGCCATTGGTTCGATCGGCGAGAGGGGTGACGGCAGCAGCAGCAGCAGCAGCTGCTATCACCCCCGCGGTTGTGGTCGCCATCGCGTTCGTCGCCATCATCTTGTCGCGTTCATTTGCGTGCTGCTGCCCATGCCGTTGCCATTGGAACGCCCCCACAGCCGCCGCTACCTCCTCCGCCACCTGCGCCTCCATCTGTTCACGCAGCGTCGCCGCCGCCGCCGCCGCCTCGGCGCCCATAGTTGCCGCCACTCGACGCATCTCCGATTGGTGTGCCTCCCGCAGCGCCCTGACCGTTGCTGCCAGGCGCTCCTTGTAAAGCGTGTCGTACTTTTCCGCCAGCGCCGCTGCCTGCTTCGCGTGCGCCCCCTCCGCCGCCTCTAGCGCTGACGCATGCTGCTGCCGCAGCCCCGCTAGCTCCTGCTCCCGCCGCCGCGTCAGCTCCTCCAAATGTGCCGCATGGCGCTTCTCCGCCTGTGCCAGAGCCGACCCGTGGGTCGCCTCCAGCCGTCGCCGCAGCGCCACCAGCTCCTGCTCGTGGCGCCGCGCCAATTCCTCGACCTGTACCGCATGCCGCGCGTCCGCGACTGCAATCGCCGACCCTCGCGTCGTCTCTGCCTCGCAGCGCACCGCCGCCAGCTCCCCCGCGTGCATTTGCTGCAGCTCCTCTACCAGCGCCGCATGTCGCGCCGCCAGCTCGGCTACATCCGACCCGTGGGTCGCGTCCAGGCGGCGTCGCAACTCCCCCAGCTCGCGTTCATGCCTGAGCTGCACGTCCCGCAGCTTCCCCGCGTGCTGTGCCTCTGCCTCCGCCAGGGCAGACCCGTGGGTCGCTTTCAGGGCCGCAAGCTCCCGTTCGTGCTGCTCCCGCGCCGCCTCCAGCTGCTCCGCCTGACGCGCCAGCTCCGCCTGTTGCTTGGACATCTGCGCCTCGAGCGCGGTGGCAACTTCTGCATCTCGCTCCTTTTGAGAAAGCAGCGCCGCTCCCGCTTCCATCATGCGTCGCTGCTGTTGCTGTTGTTGTTGTTGCTGCTGTAACAGCAGCAGATTCTGCTGTTGCTGCTGCCGCAGCTCATGCAACTGGCCCTCCAGCGACCGCACAGTGTCCCGCAGCCGAGCGAGCTCTGATTCCAAGGCCTGCATTGGCACGCGTCGCATTGGCATTGACCCTCAATGAAAAACACAACTGACACACACAAAGCTTCGGCCCTGGCCCTTGGGGGCCCCCCTTCCCAGGGCTCGTGTATGTGTGGGCCCCCAGGTCACACCTTTGGACGGTAACGGTAACGGAGCTGCAGAAGGTGTAATACACACATACATGCGCACACGCACGCATACACATAAGTGTTTTCCCTGCCCTACCAACGGCTTGGTAGGGCAGGGAAGGCAGGGGTTTCCCTGCCTTCAAGCCGGGATCCCCATTGCGATTCCTGCCTTCCATGCACATCGGCAGTACCCCTTCTTCCTTCTTCCAGCACCGAAACCATCCTCCTATTCCTACCTGCACCTCTATCGCATGCCGGCCCCGTAACTCCTCCTCTAGACGCCTTCGCGCCTCCGCCGCCGCCTCACGCTCTGCCGCCACTGCCGTAGCCGCTTTCTGATCTGCAGCGGCCGCCGCCTCCCGCCGCGCGTCCGCCGCCGCCTCCCGCAGCTGCCGTCGCAGACCCTCCGCCTCCGCCGCGTGCTCTTTCCGTAAGCCCTCCACCTCGGCGGCGTGCTGCCCACAAAGGGCTTCGATCTCCGCGGCGTGCTGCTCACAAAGCACCTCTACCTCCGCTACGTGGTGGTCTCGGAGCTCCGACAGCTGGGCCGAGTAGTCCTCGGACAGCTTCGCCAAACAATCTGCATGGTCCTGCTGCTGGTGTGCTGCCGCCGCCGCCGCGGCTGTCGCAGCAGCGTCATCCGCGTTGCGGTCTTGTTTCGCTGCAGCCAGCTGTTCCGCATGGCTGCGCTGCAACTCCAATTCCGCCACCTGTACAGCGGCCGACCGACGGGTCGCTTCAAGCTCCTCGCGGAGCTCCGCCAGCTCCGCGTCGTGCTGCCGCCGCAGTTCTGCAACTTGCGCTGCGTGTCGTGCCGCCGCTTCCGCGGCGGCCGACCCATGGGTCGCCTCCAGCCGGGCCCGCAGCTCCGCCACCTCCCCAGCGTGTCGCTGCCGCAGCTCCTCAACCTGCGCCGCCTGCCGCGCTGCTCCCTCGGTCATAGCCGACCCGTGGGTCGCTTCCAGCTGCGTCCGGAGTGCCTCCAGCGCCGCCGCGTGCTCCTCCGCCAAGCTGCTGCGCAAAGCTGCCAACTGCCGTTGTGCGGCCGCGGCGCTGGCAGCGTGAGCCTCGACAAGCACCGCTGCTGCGTCGGCCTCGGCCTCAGCTCGCACCTGGTGTGTGTCAGTCAGGCCCAGAGCCAAGGTGCAGACGTATGCGCATGTACATCTTAGGCAATACCTAGATGTGCTTTCTTTCTGCTCACATGGCATCTTCTTCGCTATAGTCTAGGCGGTTAGGATATGAGATTTTCACTCTCGAGACCCGGGTTCGAGTCCCGGTAGCGAAATCTAGTAAATTTTAATGTCCAAGAACGGCAGCAAGGTTTGCACAGGGGGAAATATTGGGAGTAACGTTTATGCAGATAGTCTACGGCCCCCCGTAGACTATCGTAGACTACATGACGAACATCCCCCCATTCGTGCGGAACTTGTGTGACTTGTACACATGACAAGCAGTACACTTCACACCACCGTTTCTCAAGTTATAAATACATACTATAAGCAGGCGGCTGGCAGAGGTTAAGGCCTGACTTCTGCTCCCGGCCAACCCGGGTTCAAATCCGCATGCCGGTTCCTCGGGTGTTTGAAGAGTGTTGAAATGGGAGGTGGCCCCCCATCATATGGACGATGTAGGACGTGATAAAATCAACTTGCAAGCTGACCAGGAACTAAGTTGACGCGCCGTTGATCCGCTAGATTTGGTTGGATGCTGGTGGTGAGTTGCCGAACCCAACGAATACATTCTGAAGTCGGAAGGGGTGACGGATTGGGGTGCCCCTCTAGCAGGGGAGAGCAGGGACTGCCTCGGGAAAGGGGGCCGCTGGCGAAGTTAACCACCCTGTAACAACATACATAGATACACATGCACTTTGTCTAAGAAGCCACGACGGAAATTTCCGTCCTCTCCCAAGCCCCCGGGACTTGCTTGGATTCGACGAATCTCCGGACCCCTTTGCCCGCTAGCCCTCGTGACTGATCCGTTTAACTCCCGGTTACCCTTCTTTCTCTCCTTCCAACACCTCCCTCCCTCTTCCGCCCCCCTTTCCTCCTCCTCCTCCCCCCCTTCCTCCTCCTCCTCGCCCGCTTCCTCCTCCCCCTCCTCCTCCTCCTCCACCTCCTTCCAACCTCCTCCTTTATACAGTCACACATTTCTTTTCCAGACCTGCGGAGGGCTTTCCTTCCCCTCTCCTCCCATCACCCCACTGCCACGGCCCGTGCTTTACCCGCTGTTACCCTGACCAGCATCGGGAGTGCCGGCCCCTACCAGTAAAATACATACATATATACACACACACACGCACAGGCCCCGCCTTTCTGACGCACCTGGTCCAGCTCCTCATTGAGTCGCTCGGCTCGCGCACGTGCAGCCTCCAGCTGCTCCCCGGCGTCGTCTAGCCGCTTTTGTAGCTCCGAAACCCGAGCATCCCGCGCGACCTTTTCTTGGTGTGGGTATGGGCACGGGCATGGGATGGTGCGGGAAATAAATATCATTACAGCCAAAAAGCGAAGGCCAACACGGTAGTACATTCATCTATCTTTACAAACGTGCTCTACATACATACATACAAAAACCAGCAAAAGCCCGCAGGTGCGAGCGTTTCTCTTCCAGTTACACGGCGGCGCTGCGTGCACTTCCTTCCCCAGCTGCGTCTCAATGGCAGAGGGCGACGCAACAGGTACTCACACGCACACGCGCACGCATGGCCATAGGTGGAGGAGAAAGACGAGTAAGACGGGTTTCGGAGCTGCAAAAACGGATAGATGACGCCGAGGGAGCAGCTGATGGCTGCTTACACCAGGCGCACTGCTTGTCTCAATTTTCACCCCCCATCCCACCCCACCCCACCCCACTCAAGCCTGTCGGAGAGCTTCATGTATCGAGCCGCCTAGCGACGCATTCTGACCCCGTGGGATCCTGACCCATAGGGCAGGGGAGTTCGACGCAGTCACATCCCAAGGCAAAGGATCTCTAGCCAGTGAAACCGCGAGGTATCGAGATAAGACAACAGGCAGTCTGACTACGATGCAAGGCTGATTGCCTGTACTTGTACATTGTCCTAAGCCCCTCTGTGTGACACCGTCATCATCACTTCACGTCACTTCACTTCACTTCACTTTCACTTCACGTCTCCGACATATTTGTGCCCGGTGCAAGGGCAGATAGTGGCGGGGAGGGCCGCACCCGCATCGGTTATGTGTAGCGGCCAAGCTCCGTAGCCGTGTCTTAGCCGCGTCTCAGAGACCTGGGTGATCGCCGACAAAGCCCACCTCGAGATCTCTTACCCTTCAGTGCATATCCCCACCTAGCTCGTACCCACCTGCGCCGCCTCCACTGCCGCTTCGAGCTGTCTGCGCAGGCTGTGCACCTCCGCCTGCAGCGACCCGTGGGACACCTCCAGGGCTTCGTAACGCCGCCGGGCGAGCGCCGTCTCCGCGGCCATCACCTCATCCGCCTGAGCCACACACAGAGAACAACATACACGGATAGCCCAAATGTGAGTGCAAGTGCGAATGTGAGTGTGAATGCAAGTGCGAATGTGAGTGCAAGTGCGAATGTGAGTGTGAGTGCAAGTGCAAATGTGAGTGTGAGTGCAAGTGCGAATGTGAGTGTTGTTACAGGGTGGTGTAGCTTCAACAGCGGCCGCCTTTCCCTTGGAGGCAGAGTTCCCACCTGCCTATGAGTATGAATGTGCACGTAAATGTGAAAACTGCGTTAGGCAGAAAAGGATAGATGAGACGCGCGCAGACGCAGTTGTCTGAACCCCTTACCCCCCTCTCATGCCCCCACCAGCCCCACCAGCCTTCCTCGCCCTGCTGGCCCACCTCACGTCTGACCCTCTGTCGCTCCTCCGCGAGGGCAGTCTGCACCTTCTCCACAGCCACATAGCGGCGAGGGTCTGAACAGGCGGCGGCGGCGGGGGGGGGGCAAGGGGGGGGGGGGTAAGGGGGATGGAGAGGGGGTAATTAGTGGGGCATTGGAGAAATTATACATATATACATACATACATATGTCCCTAATCTGTCCGTGTCCCTAACCTAGCTTGTGGGTTCGAGGCTCCTGGCCCTCTGGCTCTATGGGCTCCTCACACCCTCTGGAGGTGATGCGAACGAGGTGTAACACACACATACATACATACACACGTACATATGCGGGGAGGGAAGGGTCAACCGCCGGCGGCGGATGGGGATGGGGAGTTACGTGCAACACCCAAGAGAACCGACTGCCATGGTTTGTGGGAGGATGGGGGGCCGGGAAATGGGGTAGGGAGTTAAGCGGGGCCAAGGCAGGTGGGAGAAGGGGCCAAGGCAGGTGGGAGAGACAGGCGTGTAGGAGCTTTTTGCCTTGGACAGGAAGAAAGAAGAAAGACAAAACAGCAAAAGCGGAGGACTCAAAAACGATTAGGTACGAATAGGAACATTTGTACGGCAAATGGGGGCCCCGCCAACCTCTTTACTGTATGTACTTTGTGCAGTACTCCGTTATCTTTTCTCTATTGCTATTCCAGTGATTCACACACACACACACACACACACACACACACACATATTTTGGGACCTTCCCGGGCCTCAAGGAACTAATTACAAGAAAAACTATGCCGACGGGGACAGCTAATAATGATAATAATAAAAATAATAATCCACTACATCTCTTGAAAAGCACCTTTTACTTGCCGCGTTCCGGCACCCTCTGCGGACTTTTAAATCAGGTCCCTCCCATCATTTCCACCCTCAACCCCTCACCCTTGGCTGCCGCCAATCGTGCGTTGAGCTCCTTGAGCCTCTCGATCTCTTCACGCGCCGCTGAGAGCAAAAGGTTCGTCTGCGCGGTGGCGGCTGCCGCGGCCGCCGCCGCCGCCGCGGCGGCGGCATCCCCTCCGCTGGACGGCGAACCCGTCATTTGCTCGTCCGTCTGTACGGCTGCGTCCAAAGTTGCGGCGTCGTGGCACGACAATGACAGTTGGGATCCCGACGGCCCGCTACTGGTCGCTCGTCCGAGCCAGCAATGACCCCTGTCGCCGCCCACGGTCGTACCATGAGTCGTACCGCTGCCGCACTCGCCGTACACCGCGCGGCCACCGTCGCGGACATCCTCAACGTCAGCGTCGTCGTCGTCGTCGTCGCTGAACAGCGAGTGGGCGAGAGACCGCGCTTCTGCCACAGCGTCCGGTTCCAGCGCGGCCGCCGCCGCGGCAGCGGCGGCGGCGCCGTCAACGTCGCTCGTCGCCATTGTCATCGTCGCCGCCACCTCCTCATGACGATCGCCAAAACCGCCCCCGCCCCCGCCCCCGCTGACACTCAGCGCCGCCTGCAGCTGCTCCTGAAGCTCTGATACAAGCCTCTGCAACCCGTCGGCGCGATCCCGCTCCGAAACCAGCTGCTCCTCTAACGCCTGCGTCGTCTGTATGAGCTCCCGGACGCGTGATGCCCAATGGCCCTGCTGCTGCGGCGGCGGCTGTTGTTGCTGTTGCAGTAGAAAGCTACTGCTGATGCTACTGCTGCTACCCACATCGCCACATATACTACTGAAGGTGCCGCTGCCGCTGCCGCAGCAGCTGCTGCCGCTGCTGCTATGTAGTGTGTCGTACGGCCGCAGCGGCGGCGGCGCTGCTGGCTGCATTGCCTGCGACGTGCCGGTTTCGACGCTGCCCATACCGCCAGCCACTTCCTGTCGTACATTTGGCGAGGTGAGGTAAGGACGCGTCGGACGACGCCAAAGCCTAAGAGACAGTAAGAGCTATAGTTGAACTCCCGAGCCAGGGTAGTGCTAGCAGCCCATGTATGTACGACACACGGCAAACAAGATAAAGATTGAGGAAGAATGAGTGATAGACGCATTTCACTTAGCCGCGCACGTGTGCTCAAAAGCCCTCCAGCATCCTCCTAATCCCCGTCTTGTAGTGATCCCGTGATGCCAGGAAAAGGGAAGAAATAGCCGTCGCCCACGCGGCAAGACAAGAAAAGCTCATAGAAATCTCTCGTCCCCTTTAACTTACACCCACCACCACCGCTACCACCACCACCACCACCCGACCGCTCAAACCTCCCTGCCTTGGCTCCCCATCTGTATTTATTGTTAAACTTTACCCTTTACGAAGCTACAATATGTTAACAACATACATACATACATACGTAATTATACACATACATATATACATACATAAGCACGTATTTACACACACGCACACGCACGCTTACCACGTACCTGTAGTTGCCGCAGGTAAGTAACCTGGTGTACGGCAGTACGAGCTTCCTCCCGGGCACGTGTCAGCGCCTCCTGCGGGTCCATCCATTCCAAATCACCACCACCATCATCATCATCACCACCACCATCATCATCATCACCACCACCATCATCATCATCACCACCACCATCATCATCATCACCACCACCATCATCATCACCGCCGCCGTTACCAACATCACAGGTGGCCATTGCCGCCCGTACGGCCCCGTCGGTCGGCCGGGGGGCGTTACGGACAGATCCAGATCCAGAACAGCCGGGGGTCCGAGGGGGGCTTGGTGAAGGGGGGGCCCCTCCCTCCCGCACTCCTCCTCCCTGCCCCGTACCGCACGCCGCATGACACATCATCGCCATCCCCCCCCGCCTAAAAGTACACCTCTGCACTGTGTATTGGATGTGATTATTGGAAGGCCAAGAAAGAACATCCCGAAGTTGCCGTATATAAAAAAAGCCCTGACAGCGCCCCATCCGTTACGTTCCGAAACACACACACACACACATACACACGCGCGCACACACCCAACCCACTGCTTACAGCCACCGTGGCCAGCTGGCTACGACACGTTCCGTACCTGAAGGGAGTGCCGCTCGGCCATGGATTCAGCCTGAATGTACGAATTTGGATTCCGGGATGAGATGGAATTTTTGGTTAAGCGTTTTTTGGGGACCGCCGTGGGTAGGTGGGTGGGTGAGTGGGCCAATCACAGAGAATCAGCGGCGAGACGGGTAGCGGCGATGGAACGAAGGAGCATGGCAGACACACACACGCCTTCCCCCACATACATACATACATACATACATACATACATACACCACCCAAACCCTCCCACCTCCCCTTCCTGTCCCTCGCTCGTCATGATGGTGCGTAATGACACCGTTGGGCACCCCCCCATACCCATATGGACAGCGTTGCCTAAACAAGCCAAACTCGCCCCGGTGTTACCTGATAACCACCCAGGCAATCGCACACACACACACCGCCTAATCTGGCTCTCTACCCCCCCGGCCCCCCCCCGGGGGTACCTTACCTGCATCCGCCGCAGCTCATTGTGGAGCTGCAGCACCGCCGAGCCGCCGCCGCCGCTACCTCCCCCCACGCCGCCGCTGGATCCCCCTCCCGTGTGGCCCTGAGAACGCAGGTGGGGAGGTGCCGTACATGTACAGATATAGATATAGATATAAATACACATGCTCTTTACATATGCTCTTTCTGTCTCTCCTCTTTCTCTCTATATAAAAGCTCTATATATCTATACGCTATACAATAATATTATTTATGTTGTATTTATGTATAATGTATAAGCTACATTATGCGCATATATATATATATATCGCTTATACATATAGCTTATAGCAGGGAAAGAGGAGAGACAGAAAGAGCTGGCTGTCCCTCGCCCCTCATTCTTTCGCCTTCTCCGCACATACATACATACATACATACATACATACATACATACCCACTAACCTTTCCCTCCCTTTCCTCCCACCACACACACTCTCCTCGCCCCAAAACCAACCCCCAACCCCCAAACCCCCCTCCTTCCACCCATCCCGCCCCCCCACACGTGCCGTACCTCCAGATGCGCCTCCAACGACGCCTCCAGGCACTCATTCGCTGCCTTGAGGTCCCGAATATCGCAGCGCACCACCTCCAACTCCTGACGAGATGGACACAGGTCGCGGTGGGGTGGGGGGGGGGT